CCCCCGGGCGGCCTGCAGCTCGCCGTCCCAGGCTGCCGGCGCCCGTGGCATGGCGGGGGCATCCCGAAGAACGTGCATTTGACAGGGGTGCTTCCGCGTCCGACTTTAACAGCAAAGCGAGAAACCGCCTGTGGCCAGAGTCCACGCAGCACAGACCACGCGTTCAGGTAACGGCCAGCGAGTCACGGCTGGTTTTGAGGGGATTTCTCCAAGAGAAGTAAAACTCTTTTCCCCATATTCAAACTCCTGCTAACTTTAAATTCCTGATCTTGAGCTAACAGGCTTTGGGATTTTTGTTTGTTTGTTTTTGTTTTATAAAGAGCTTCAGAAGGATAGAGCGGAACTGCCCCTTTTCTCGGTACCTCTCTCTGGAAAGCACCACACGCCCACCCATCACACACGCTCCTGGATGCGGCGATGCTACTACAGCGGCCGTTCAGCTCCTCAGCGACAGTGCAGCGTCACCAAAACCAACAGACTGTGCCGGGGAGCTTCAGGTGACTGTAACAGAAAAGCTGTTGCCAAGTTCAACCCATAAATTAGCCAGCTCCGAGGAGAGGGGCAGCTCTTTACTGCCAATTGCTTTGCTGAACGGGACTCGTTCAGGGAGAAACTGGGATCTGCCGGAAGGAAAAACACTTCAGAGAGGTCAGGGCAGAGCAGCGAAGGCCCAAATGCCCTCCGGTTCCCTGGGCTCTGGGAACACGAAGCTGTGCAAGGCGTCTGCTGAAGCGGTTTCCCTGCGCTCCGGAAACGGAAGCCTTGGCACGGTGCATCTCCTCACAGCTCCCGCTGCGCAGCCAAAGAACGACCGAGAGAAGGGATCAGTGTTACCAGAACATGGACTGATGCCAGTAGGGCTTCGCAGCTCCCGTCATGTTCTCTCCAGCTAGTCTGCCGCTCACCACAGCGTGGTCGTGGTGCTCCACGCGTCTCCTGCCCAGTTTGATGTCGTAGAAGCAGGCAGCATCCCCGGCCTTAGAAAGAACCACTCAGTGAGGGCTGAGCACGGACACCGAAAGCTTCAATCAATGCACAGACAAATGAGGCATCGGGAAGAGAACAAAGCGGAACCCCAACCACCACCACTGCATCATCCCACTCCCCGGGCTACACAGCTGCCAGTTTCTCCGCATTTTTGACTGATCTTCGGAAAACGACGACAGCATCGGGTACGTTTCCCAGAGGAACCGAAGCTGTGACTCCCACCCGAGGGCCTCTTACGCAACAGAGTAATCCGCGCTATCTTTAGGTCACCCCAACTCCTCTTACACAGCATAAATATTCAAGAACTCGCAGAGTCGTTACCACAGCAACGAAGCGTGCTGTGCTGCATGAACAGCCTCGGCGGCTGCCGGCAGGATCCGCGCCGCAGTCGGCCTCGCTGCTCGCTGTTCTTCGCCCCG